CATCGCCATTTCCTGCAGGACAACGAGAGCCGTGGTCCATAACCCAGGAAAGTAAAGAGCTCTAGCAGCCCGTATGGCTACTTCAGGGACAACCACTATATGGTAACAAAATTAACAAACATTAGAACCATGCATGTTAATGTTCTCACGGACATTTTTTTTTGTTGCCTCAACCATCGCATTAATTGGCTGTCGCTGAAGTAACCGTGCGACGGTTGCTACATCTTTCCATTTTTCTGAGTGATTGCGCAACGTAACGCAAGACTTAATACGTTAAGTGCGGCCCTGAATGTGTTATACGGCCGGCGGTCGTGGCCCAGCCTCCGCAGCCACCGCCCCCAACCCCAACGGGCGCGTGAGAGCTGGCGCTCAAGCGCCGCCGGGGGAGGTTCGCTTTTAAAACATTTGGCCGCCGCCTGCAAATCCAACTGGCCACACCCCAACCCTCCTCACCGACCCTTCGCCCGCCCCGCACTGCCCCCACCCCGCCCGGGCAGGCTTCGTCATTAATTTTTCAGCGCTCTCTGGCGGGAATAACTTTCCGACCCGCCTCGACCTTAAGACCAGACCAGGCCAGCCCAGACCGGGGCAATCCTGCCGCTTGACTCCCCCCCCCCCCCTCCTGCGGCCTACACTGCCCTTCTCACGGGCCGGAAAGGACAATCGCAGAAGCTGGGGTGCGATTGAAGGGGCTCACCGTGAGCCCACTTGAAAAACGTTCTTAGAACGTTTCAACTCTATTTTTAGCGGTTATTAGAAGGCTGTCTAGAAGGCGCAGCCCGTGAGTTCACGGTGAGCTCACCGTTAACTTTCCAATCGCACCCCTGGTGTGTGCGCTACGTACGCGAGGCACTTTTCGCTCCTCCCTTTTTATTGTCAAAGTAAAGAGTGTAGGTAACGTCCCGTAACTAGAGTAAACCAATCCTAAGAGGCAGTTCTTCACTCAAGTCCACTACTAGACCTGACTGAAACCTCGCAGGCCTGATTCAACAATCGCATGGAAAACATAATTAATCAGCACCGAATCCACTTTGATCGACTTTGTTACTAAAAATTAATGTCTTCTGTTAGTTGCTAGAACGAACCTGTCGCAGCAGCAGTCAATTTGTTCGTAACTGCAGCGACTTCGCCGTGGTGTCAATTTGTCCACTAGCTGTCACATATTTTGTGAGTTTAAATGATAAATGTTTTGTTATTTTTCAAACAATATACTTAACACATGCGTGCCTTCTCTGGGCAGTGCACCGGACGTCAACTGGTACGTGACGTAGAGCATGCGTACCCGAATTGAAAGACGGGCTCCAGGCGTGAACCGTACCGCTGTGTTCCCCGAAGTGGGACTAGAGAGGGTTGTCCAGTCCAGCAGGAGCATTTGCGCAGGCGAGGTGCGCCGCCGGGGGCGGACGCGGAGCGCGCGCTGACGGCGGAGCCAGCACGCGCCCTGCCCCGCGCCGCCCGGATCTGAATGCCCTCGCCGTACCTGTTGCTCGCTACGCCGCGCCACGCCGGAGTACGTGTCTTGAATTGGGGGCGGCGAATAATTTGTAGCAGGGTGTGCCTTATCCCTTATTAAGCCGGGGCTGTGTGTCGCCCCCCTCCAAGCCCACCCCG